TTATTCCAAACAGAACCATCTCAGGTAGCATTTCCAGCAAGAACGTATTATTAACAGTCTCTGACACCATTTTCGAAATCATTCTGCTCTTCCAATTACATAGAGCAACCAATGTGAACTATTTACCATCAGATTAACATCAGAAAATCACATAAATTATAAAAAAATAAAAAAATAAAAAAATAAATAAAGAATGAAAAAAAATCCAAACCTACCAGCTCAATCCCAGAGAATGTTATGATCAAGAACCCATCAATCCCAGTTAAACTTTACAGGAAGAACAGAAAACCATTAAAAAATGTGAACCAAAACATTTGGGTGAAGGAACAAGAAGCATTTCCAGTGAACTCAAACATTGAAATAAACAGGACAAAAGGAACAACAAAGAAATCTTTCTTGGGAATCATCCTCCAGACAGGATCACTGCAACGAAACGGAATCAACCATTTTCTATCCCACAAAAAAAATGAAAGAGGAATCTTTTGGTGTCAAAAAGCACGAAAATTCTATAAAATACTCAAAACCAGAATGATAAAAACACCGACGTTAAAGAGTTAAGACTGAATTTTCAAAGTGGCCTACTCTGATCCACAAATCAAGAATTGCCATGTCAAACGATCAAGAAACACCTAGCGCTAAATCAATTATCAATTCATTTGCCACAAAATGCAGATCCAACAGAGAACAACAACATAACGGGAAGCGGAGATTCGGCGGGACGACCAAAGACACATGCACATCAAGGATACATCGACAGGCAAAAGCAGAAAAAACTCCAAATTGTCGAAAAATTAGGGCATGAAAGAAGTCAGAGAACAGGTTTCAGAAATTGAAAAAAGAAAAAAGGAAAAAAAAGATGCGATATTCATTTCTCAACAGTGAAACAATGTCACAAGGGATACCTGGTTGGTGAAGGGAAGACGGCGAGATAGATCGGAGGATGGAAATTGGACGAGCGGTGGTCGGAGAAGATGGAATATAGATAGGTATTTGGAGGCCCAAAACTGAATTCGATAGAATTAGGGTTCTGTTTTTGTTTGTTTCAAAAACAGAAAAAAAAAAAAAGGGGAGAAATAAGGAAAAATGTGATATTAACCAAAATTTCAGTCCTTACAACGGAACGGATGCAGATGGCCCTTCCATAAAATAAAATAAAATAAAATAAAATAATAATAATAATAATAATAATAAAATTAATTTTTTTAATAATATAAATTATATTGATAGTGTTAATATCTGTACTAAAAAAATAAAAAAATATCAAATTAGGAGCTTAATCTAAAGAATCATGATGTCCTCACTTATTTTTTCATGAAAAATGTGACCACTACAACCACATTGGTGAGAGGCAAATTAACTTCTTTAATTAATTTTATTTATGAAGAGATTTGAGAAATAAAATTTAACATTTCGAGTTTTTCA